CTTTGTACTGTGCGTGTAGTGCACCTAGCATGTAAGGGGATCTCAGCATGAGCTTCAGCCCTTTCTATTTTTAGCCTGCTAAAACAGCTAAAAGCAGAGGCCGGCTATGGCTGGTCCTTCCATCCATCGTTGTTGAGATTATGTACTGCTCACCCCTTGAGAAACTGCCTTAGTGGTTTCTCATTCATACAGCTTCTTTATGACCTAAATATTCTATTCCTAGGTATTACTCTAAACAAACAGCATGACCTAGATATTTTATTCCTAGGTATTACTCAAAACAAACAGCCTACGTCCTGGTAATTGTTCAGCTGAGAGCTTCTTGCTTGGATGCAGGAAGCCCTGGCTTCAACTCCCTGAAACACACAAAACCCAGCAGTACTCAGCAGGCAGGGATGAGGGGTGGGGGTGCAGTTATCCTTAGGTTATTTGAGAGTTCAAGGCCAGTCTGGGCTACGTGAGGATTTGTTTTTTAAAAGTCATAGGTCCCCATAAAAAATATGCATAAGAAATTAAGAAATTTGTTGGGCGTGAAGCACACAGTTTTAATCCCAGCACTCAGGAGGTAGAGGCAGGTGGATCTCAGTGAGTTCAAGGCCAGCCTAATTACTTAGGGAGTTCCATCCAGGACAGCCAGAGAAACCCTGTCCTAAAAAAGAAAAGGAAGGAAGAAAAAAACAGAAATTCATAGCAGCTTTAAACAAACAGTACCAAATGGAAGGAGGCCCAGAGTCACCAAAATGCAGAAGGAGGCCTGGGAAATGGCCCAGCCAGTGAAGGCTCTGCCTCTCCCCAGACACACACGGTAGAAAGAGTGAACTCTTGCAAGTTGTCCTCTGACTGCCACACTCACGCCATGGCACACACACACTGATATACACACACACTGATACACACACTCACTGATTCACACATATACACTGATACACACACACACACTGATACACACACACACACACACACACACTGATACACACACACATTACAAAATGTTCTAAGCAAATGGATGAATGCCCAGTAGCAGGGCCATGTGCTAGGTCGCTAGTCAGTCATAAAATGGATCAGGCTATGGACCAAAACAACAGAAACAAACCTCAAAAAGATGTCGAGGGAAGACACAAAAATGCCTGCCCTCGAGGCTTACGTTTCCACTTCTAGACCAGGTTGGGGAGACCCAGGACTCGGACTCCTTTCTCGGGTGACTGGGTGATCTCTGAACTTAAACTATTTTACTCTACATACAAGGTAAATATACATGTCAAAATAGAAATTTAAAACCTAGAAATACCGTGGTAAGCAATAATAATGTCTATCCCATTGTCTTAATATAGCTATGCTTCCCCCACACACACACCGCTTATAAAACTATCAGCTTTAAACATAATGGAACAGCTTTCTTGTTCATTAAAAAGCAAGCAGGCCCTTGGTCTTTGACGTGAGTGGCCTGGGGTGACATCTGTGAAAATGGTTCGCTACTTGATTGATCCAGAAAATCATGAAATCAATAGGTTCACATGTTCATATTCCCTTCGGGACACTCATGAAGCTGTCAGGCCATCAAGGTATGTACATTCCCAAAGCCATGCAGTATCTGAGAGCTGTCATTTTACAGGAGCACTGTGCGCCATTCCGGGGGGGCCACCATGGTGACGAGGTCAGGCCCAATGGTAGTACTGGATGGACCCTGAATCTCCAGTCTCAAATTTTACTGCTGAATTTTTGCTGCCCCCAAATGCTCTAAAATGCAGAGTAACCCATACTTTAGCTGTAGATTCTCTGGGACTAGGGACAAGTTTTAGCATTAGAATTCTTATCTAAACTGGGTGGTGGTGGCACATGCCTTTAATGGCAGCACTGGGAGGCAGAGGCAGGCGGATCTCTGTGAGTTTGAGGTTTCTCTGTGTATCCCAGGCTGTCCTGGGAGCTCACTCTGTTGATCAGGCTGGTCTTGAACTCACAGAGATCTGCCTGCCTCTGCCTCCTGAGTGCTGGGATTAAAGGTGTGCGCCACCANGCACTGGGAGGCAGAGGCAGGCGGATCTCTGTGAGTTTGAGGTTTCTCTGTGTATCCCAGGCTGTCCTGGGAGCTCACTCTGTTGATCAGGCTGGCCTTGAACTCACAGAGATCCGCCTGCCTCTGCCTCCTGAGTGCTGGGATTAAAGGTGTGCGCCACCACCACCCGGCTACTCCTCTTCCACCTTTCATTCTGAGGATAAAACTCAGGCCACCGTGCTAGCTTTTGTTTGTTATAAAATCAGAATTCTCAGCCGGGCAGTGGTGGCACAAGCCTTTAATCCCAGCACTAGGGAAGCAGAGGCAGGAAGATCTCTGTGAATTCTAGGTCAGCCTGGTCTATAAGAGCTAGTTCCAGGACAGACTCCAAAGCTACAGAGAAACCCTGTCTCAAGACAAACAAACAAACAAACAAATATCAGCATCTCTGTAGACTGGCACAGTGCCTTGAATATATTTCCCTGCTGCAATGATTTCTCTAAAGATACATTAGCCTATGGAGTTGCTAATGGGCCCTCCTTATAGGGCAAAGGACCCTGGGTCCCTCCTCTGGGGACTGACACTTAGCTAGATAGCTAACTGTGACTCACCTCCACATCAAACACCACCCAGGGGCTTGTTTTCCTGCTTCCTCCAGGGCTTTAGGGGATTTCTCCTTTTAGCTATTTTATTAAGGTATTTTACCTGGAGCGAAACATGCAGATGCTGGTTCAATAAAAGAATCTTAAGTAATTAGTAGGGACTACTCTCGGACCAAGATCTGGAGCATTTGATGCCATCAGAAGACCTTGCCTCTTCCAGGCAGTAACCCCAAGACTAACTTGTTGAATTTGGTGTGCACAGAACTGCCATAGCACAGGCTCGTCTGGGTGTACCCGTTTCCTAGTCCTCCATGGAGCTGTGTGAGTCCCTGATGTCCCTCTCACGTGCCCTGAGTGTTGCTTCCGGTTTGGAGCTGTGATGTACAGAGCTGTTCTGAACAGGCAGCCATCGCGTTCCCTTGGGAAAATGCTCAGCCGTGGAATGGCTGAGGCGTAGGAGAAGCAGGTCTCTTCCATCCCAGCTGCAGAAAACCGGGGGTTGCAGTTGCCCCAAATCGCTACCTATCGGTAGATACCTACCGTGACAAAAGTGCCCTTGGTGTCCATGGCATCCAGAGGACTGTGAGGAACTTCCCTCCCATTTTGCTCCAATAGGATAGTTTGTCTGCTCTTTAAATGCAGTCGATTCCAGCTGAGTGAGGGACTTATAAGTAGGACGAAGGTACAAGGAGACACGTGTCCTCTAAGGAAGCATATCCAATTAGTCTTGGCAAATTTTGGTGTCTTAAGCTAAGCACAAGAAGAGTGTCACAGGTAAGTGCCTGGCCTGGCAGACAACCATATCTCCCTCTGGTACCTGGAGGACCATTTCATGACACTGTAACAGAATATTGCAGGCTAATTGGTTCATAAAGAAGGATTGTTTCTTTCTCGCTCTCCTGGAGGCTGGCAAGCACAAACCAAGATTCCATGTAATAAAGGCCTTCCAACTGCATAGCCCCATGGTTGGAGGCAGAAGGCAGACACACAGGCAAGAGATCGAATCTGTAACCACATGTCTTTCGTTAAGTCACACCGACCCATGTAAGAAGACCAGTCACCAAAAACACATCAGCTCCCATGGCGGGAGGGAGTGTGTGCGCTTTCCAACACTGATTCGGTGGGAATAAGTTTGTTTCCCATGATTCTCTAGGAATAACGAATGACATAGTTGCACCACAAGTTTGCTTCTGGGCAACCTCCAAGTTAGCAGCAGTGACATGAATGACTCCCAGTAAGCCTGCTGTCCTGGCTCTCCTCCCCCGCCACCACCCCCGCCCTCGACAAATCCATCCTGCAATTCTTTGCTTCATCCACTTCATTCCCGTAACTCATAACCTAAACCACACGAGCAGGGTTGTTTGTTTGTTGTGTTTGTGGCTGGGGAAGACTGACGATGTTACTCAGTTGGTGGAAGTCCCAGGTCCCATCCCCAGCAGGTGTGCTTGGTGCAAGTGCCCATACCTATATTCCAGGCACTTTGGAGGTAGAGGCAGGAGGATCAGAAGCCGAAGGTCATCCTTGGCTACATACTGAATTCAAAGCCAGCTTGGCCTACGTGACAGTGTTGGGAGAAGAAGAAGAGGAGGAAGGGGGGGATGGAGGAGGAGAGGAGGAGGTATGTATGTATGTATTAGGTTAGGCATACTGGGATTGCATGAGGTACCATCACGCCTAGTTTGAAAACTATTTCAAATATTCCCTTGGTCTCCTTCCTTGTCACTTGGGATATTCTACAGTATCAGCTACTTTTCTTCTTCTCACCCCAAAACAGAGGAAAGGAGGAGAGAGACGAGAAGAAAAAGAGTACGGACGGATAAATTCACAGGCAGAAGGAAATGCACCCAGGGAACCCCCCCCCACACACACGCCCGCCGCCCCATTAACAATCTCAATGGTGGTGTTTTTCTTGCAAAATAGTTCTTCCTACTTGCTAAGCTTTTACAGAAGGTAGAAAGACTTCTTGGAAAGCCTAAATCTTCGAGACTTTAGACCGCGCGTAAGGAGTTGTGCAACCTTGCTCACGCCCCTTCGTCTTTCTGAGCATCACTTTCCCCACACATACAATGGACTGAAGCAGGTCTTCCCCCACCGCTTCTGGCACACAGGGAAAGCAAAGCCTGAGTCTAGCGGATGCCCTAATGAAACACGGTCAGAAGCACAGCCACACACACCCTCCGGCAAGGCTGTCGAGAAACTTCTGGCTACGACCCTCTGAAGCTTCAGAAACCAAATGGAACTGATTCTCTGGCAGAGCACAGGAGAGGGAGGCCAAGTGTCAGAGCGGGGGAACATCCAGTGTCCTCCCCAAGTCCCGCCTTCAGCCCTCCACTCGGTCTTTTTCTCCAGACACTTCCTTCAGCCACTGACTCCTGGCTCCTCCCTGTTGAGTGGTTGCGGTTTCTATTTCCTCTCTGAGCCCGCCCCGGGCAGTCAGCCCCGCGCAGCCAGCCCGTGCAGAGGTGCAGAGAGAGGTCCGTCCGCGGGCGCGAGCGTGAGCGCGGAAGAGTGGTGGTTCCCCGAGACAGGAGAGATGGCTTTCTTCAGCTCCCAAGCTCCCTATGTGAACCCGGTGAGTTGTGGGGGCGATTAGAGAGAAGCTAACTGTCACATCCACGCGAAGTTGCTCTGGGTCTCTGAGGAAACAGCTGAGTGGGTGGCACGGGTAGTGGTGCAGTGACCCGCAGACAACACATGGGGAAGACATTCCAGGCGGGGTCATCCCGATGCAGCTCTTGTTCCGTGTTAGGCTCACGCTCCCTCTGGGGTCGAAGGGTTCCACTCACCGTGATTCATGGGGTAGACTGATGGATACCTGTTCCAAGGTGCCTAGTAGCATCTAGAAAGGAGATAGTTTATATAGAGATGGAGATGGGCTTTCTAGGGGTGGGTACCAGCCAACCACATGACACTTACTTTAGAGGACCTCTATTCAGTCGGTTACAAACTAAGAGACTTCACACATGGTACTTTCTCCTCTCTGGGTTTCAGTTACCACATCTGTAGAATGGGACTAATACTGAGTCCGTCTCCTGAGGCTGGGGTAAGGAGAAGCAGATAGATAGTACATGTGTTTAAACAGCACAGGGAACATAATAGGTGTTTTGAGAGTGGTCCGGGGGCAGCAGGGAAGCCCTCCCAAAGAGGTGTCTATCCTCCAAGGACCCTGTCTGAATTTACCCAAGGACACCTCCAGAATATGTGTGGAAGGGCAATGAGGTAGGGACTGTCCTTCAGTGTGGTGTGCGAAGGGCTGCCCTGTGCTCCTTCTTTGCTGTCTGCAGGTAGCCTCGTTTACACACACCAGTTGTCCCACTGTGTGTGGAGGAAGTGAGGCTTTGATAGGGCAGGGTCTTGCCAACATGTCCTCAGATGGTGACAGTGCGTGAAACTGCTTTGGTTTATTCCCAGAAGAGGGGCGCTCCTAGGGAGATGGCAGTGAAAACAGAAGTGAGTGCTCCCAGGGAAGTGCTCCCAAGGGCCTTCTGCAGTGTGCCCACCATGTGCAAGGTGCTGTGAGTGAGCTGGCTGCCAGGGCCTGGCACCAGAGCTTTCTTTAACATGGACTCTGGGCTTTGCCTGGTGCTCCAGGAAGTTGCCCATGTCCCCAGCCACACTGTCAGGCTTCTGAGTTGGGACCTGCGTGGAAGATGGCTGGGAAAAGCTGATGTCCAGAGCCTCTATGGGGCCTTCAAGAGCAAATTGTGACAGAAAGGCCATGACACTCCCTCTCTGGTTTCCAATAAGACAGCGCTGACATTTTCAAATCATACAACTGTGTTGTTGTTTTTTTTTGTTTGTTTTGTTTTGCTTTTATTTTTGTTCTTTTTTTTTTTTATTTGTTTGCTTTGTTTTTTTTTTATTTGTTTGCTTTGTTTTTTTGAGACAGGGTTTCTATGTGTAGCTTAGGAGCCTGTCCTGAAACTCGTTCTGTAGACCAGGCTGGCCTCGAACCCCTGAGACCCACCTGCCTCTGCCTCCCGGGTGCTGGGATAAAAGGCGTGAGCCACCACCACTGGCTAGGCAACTGTGTTTTATTTAGATTTAGAAGGCAAACTTCAGTACTTGAGGCTGGGTCAAGAGGGTCTCCACGTACTTTAGGCCTGCCTGAATTACATAATGAGCTCCAGGTTAGCCTGGGTTACACATTGAAACCTATCTATACAACAATCAAACCAAGAAGATGAAAAAGAAAGCAATATTTTAAATATGGAGGGAAATCCTCCCACAGAGAAGGAAGAGGTCAAGCGGGTCATGGTGGCCGACACGGAGGCCAAGTGCAGTCTCACATCCCCATAGCCCTGGGATCACACTTTCTTCCGCCGGGCTCCTCCCCCTCAGTGACCTCCTGACTTCAGCAACTGTGGCCACACATCCGCTGTGATGCTGCTGGGGTACGACTTCTGGCCTGCTGAGGAAAAGCACTGTCATAGCCCGAGGGCCAGTCTTGGTTGCTGCTCCCACATCTAATGAGACTCCCCTGAGGGCTCGGAAGAAGACGGAGCTGGTCAGGATGGCCCCTTGTGTGACCCTGCTGGGCCAGGGGTCAAGAACACGTATATGCTTCTACACAAGAGGAAGCCTATGTCCCCTATGGCCGAGAACGTGAGTTCTAGTGTTCCCAAATCCCGGTCTTGTTATCCAGCTGTGTGGCTTTGGGCAAGTTACTGAAGTTTCTGCATTTCCATTTCCTCATCCACAAAAGCACTAAAACCAAAACTGCTGGGATGCTTAGGGAAGTGACACGGGCCATTTAAGGATGGTCACGGGCAGGGTCTTTGAACTTCTGAAACAGCTGGGCCTTTCGGCTTGAGAGCATATTCGGATAGGTGTCCCTACTGCTGGTGAGGGACTGTGTGTCCAACAGACCGCCGAGCTGCCCACCCTCTGGCAGTGAGTGCAGCCTTCTGCATGTCCCATCAGGAAATGGAAGCAAAGGCCCTAGCCTCAGTGTAGAAGACAGGCCTGCTCAGGGAGCAGTACGTTCTTCTTAGGGCAAACATTTGCACAGTCTGGGGCCCTCTGGACTGGGGACTTCCTGTAGGCATCTTGTCTCTTCTGAGGAGCGCTTCATTCAGGCGGCCACCTGTGCCACTAATCCCAGGAGGGACTAGGGCATAAGTAGAAGGGTCAGGACCAGCACAGGGAGGTGGGAGCCGAGAAAGACAATACCTGCCACTACCCTCACTCCCCCACCCCCAGGCCGTAGCAGGGATCAAATGCAGGTCCCATTATTTCCTGCTAAGACCCTTCACTGACTCACTGAAGTTCTGAATTCCACTGTAGCCTGGGTCCCCAGGTTTAACTCAACTTGTTCTATCGCTGTTGACAGAAGTCTCAAAGCCAAAAGTTCAGGTTCTGAGTTGTGATGTAGTGTTGCCTGCTCAGCATGTCGAAGGCCCTTGGTTTAGTGCCCAGCAACAAACATTGCCCCGTCCCCCAGCAGCAGCAGCAGCAGCAGCAGCAGCAGCAGCAGCAGCAGCAGCAGCAGCAGCAGCAGCAGCAGCTCCCACTTCTTTCTTTCTTCTTTCTTCTTTCTCTCTCTCTCTCTCTCTCTCTCTCTCTCTCTCTCTCTCTCTCTTTCTTTCTTTCTTTTTTGGTTTTTCGAGACAGGGTTTCTCTGTAGCTTTGGAGCCTATAACTAGCTCTTGTAGACGAGGCTGGGATTAAAGGCGTGCACCACCACCACCCGGCAACTCACGCTTCTTTAAAAAACATTGTTGTGTGTGTTATGCCTCAGAGGTCAGAGGACAATCTTGGGTACAGCCTTTTCCATCCACCACACTGGTCCCGAGGGCCTAACTTGGGCCGTCAGACTTGGTCACAGGCGCCTCCCTCCACTGAGCCCTCTCACACAGTATCTCTTCTGTTGCTGAGTCCTCTTCAGAGCCTGACCCCATGACCTCCCTCTTGCAAGGATACTGGTCCTTAGGTGAGACCTGCTGGCTAATCCAGCAGTCTCCTGCATCAGGAGACTTTGGACTTTGGCGGTGTATCCGCAGTCTTTTTTGACACTTTAGTCAACATTCCCAGGCTCTGGACCGTTTCTGAGGATGGGGTGAGTGCTCTGCGCCTCAGACCTTCCCTGCAGCCTCTCTTGGGGATTTTCTCCAGAGATACCTTATCTACAAATTAGTAACTGAACACAGCTGGCTGCCCCTCCCACTTTCTATACAAATGACCTCATCCTGGCCCAGCTGGTGAGGGCTCTTGCCCCGGAGCCTGGCGACTTGAGTTTGGTCCCTGGAATCCACACGGTGGAAAGGAAGAACTGACTGCTGCAGGTTCTGGCCTCCACGACCACACAAAATGAAATAAATACAGATGGTGTCATTCCGTATCCTTCTTCAGAGTCCCCACCTTCATCCTCTCCGGACTGCTCCACGTGCAAACAGCTTGTTTATTTGCCTTTTCCTTTTAGTTCAGGTTCTTTCCAGTCCTTTGCAATCCACGCAGATACATGAACAGCCTTGCTCCGTGCTAAGACATGAACAGTCTTGCTTCTAAGATCCACTCATGCTAAATAATGTTTGAGCATTTGGGGACTAAAGTCTAAGCTGGGGGTGGTGGGACACACGGCTATCCCAGCATGTAAGAGGTTGAGGTAGGAAATTCAAGGCCAATTTAGGCTATACTTGGCCTAGGCTACCTGAGATTACTTTAAGATACTGAAACCTCACAAAGCTTCTTTGGGAAAATTGATTCTTCAGAGAGCAGCCCGTACTGCCCAGCATGTGTCTGTTCTCCTCTACCTGTGTCTTCCTGTGCACGTTTGACTCACAGCCGTCTTATCCACTTTCTGATCTTCACGGCTTGTGATTGCCCAGGAGGGCTGGCAAGTTAAGTGTCAAGTCTTCAGATGCCAGCAAAAGCTCTGAGGAAATATCAGGCAAGGGGAGTTTTGTTTTTTCACTTGTGTCTCTGAGAGTGTATGCCACGTGTCTTAGGTGCTCAGGGAGGCCAAAGGAGGACATCAGATCCTCTGGTGCTGGAGTTACAAGTGGTTCCCTGATGTGGGTCCTCTGGAAAAGCAGGCTGTGCTTGCATCCTCCAGCCCCCGGGAGGAGTAAGTCCCCTTACAATCATCTTGTGCCAGGCTGCAGATATAATAAAGTGTGCTTCTCTAGCAAACTTAAGACCCTCAGTTGAATCTCTAGTATCACAGACACAAGACAACCAAACCTTCCCTGGCATGTCAGTGCACAGTTCCCTCGGGCTGCCTGTGGGGATGAGGGTGTAAACAAAGGAACTCAAACATGGCACACTGTTGTTTCCGGTTACTGAAACAATGACAAAACCAACGTGAGATGTGGATCTCCCCAAATGATGACAGTGGGGTTGGTCTGAATGAGGGGGCCATCACAGGCTTCCATAGGTTCTGGGTGGCCAGACAACTCGAGGACGAAGGCCAGAAGGCAGCGTCAGTTAGGTAAGGAAGGAGAATCTGGCTGGGGTGTTGGTTAGCTATAGGTAGGAACTGACAACATTTCTACAATCAGATTCCTTGACAACACCAGCCATTAGCAGCGGGGGAAGCTGGAACATGGTGGAGATCCAACAGAAACACAGAACAAGGAACAGCAAGCCACAGGACAACGGAAGTTCTTTAAATCTATAGACTTAAGAGGGGAGGAGTTGCTGGTCTTAGATGGGAGAGTGAGCTTATGGGGAGTCAAAGTTTAGAGCGAAGAGCTCTCTGAGTTTGTTGCTGAGGGGGTCTCTTTGCTTAGGCTTGAGGGGTCGCTGAGTTTAGCAGATTATTGAAGATGATTGATAGGCCTTAAGAGCTGTGTCTAGGAAGCCGACCCTAGAGTCCCATCTCTCTGCCTTGAGAACTGACACATGCTAGAAGTTTGCCATTGCTAGATAGCATGCAAGTCAGGCCAGCATTTGTGGTCTAACAGCCAGTGGGTTGAATTTGGTGGGTGGCTGTTTTCTGTTGATTTGAGCCTGCAGAGAGGTGTTATAAACAGCCGGCCATCTCAGAGCCTGTCTTGCTTGCTCTCGTACACCTTCACCTCGTTTCCTTTCCAGTCCCAGGTCATTTCAGAATGACGCCAGTCGTATTTCACCGAAAACATCCTCTCACATACCGCTAACGATACAGGATACATTTTTAACTAACTGCTTTTGAACTCAGATGCCCCTGCATCCACTTTCCAAGTGCTGAGATCACAGGTGTGCCGAACCACACCTGACAAGAATTCTTGTACGTTTGTGAGGAGTTGGCTGCACCCCAGAATTAGAACATGAACTCATCCCATTGCCCAGACTTCTGTTCTGGCGAGACTTTGGCAGCTCTGCTACCTGTGGTTGGTGTTTCCAGGTTCTTGGCTTCTTATTCAAAGAATTCAAAGCAAGGGGCTTACAGGGATTTGCAGAGGGAGCCACACAGCTTATCCGAAGCGATGCTTTCAGTGGGAGTGGGAGCTGCTCCAGACTGACAGTGGGCCAGGTGTGGGGAGTACTCCCAGGGCCCCACCACTGTCTGGGCCTCCTTTACAGGGTTCAAAAGAAGAGGGAACTGGTTACTAAGCGACGTGGTCTCAGCGGTTCTCTGCTTTGACAGATAGCTAATATATTCGTAAGTTCAACAGTGCATGCCCCTCCCCCTGCAGAGGCACCGGGTTGTAACTGGGAGACCCCCCCATTTTACTGTTTCGCCTTACTGCACAATACCCCAAACCAGTTCAGGCTGGACGAACCCTTTCTCTTTTTACTACCTGAACGCATTAGGGATCCATTTGAAAAGAAATTGTCTAAATTTGATTGTTACCATGGAAACTACATTATTGCTCAGATGTGGGAGTAGGTCAGCCTGCTGCAGGTGCAGCCGGCAGAGACTGGGGGGGGGTGGTTTCTAGCTGCATCGTTTGGAGAGGGTGTGCATGCATAGTACAAGCAGGTGGAGGAACCAGGCTGCCAAGTGGAGTGTTAAGAGGAATAGGGGGTGCATAACCCCAAACCGAATAGGATCTCGTGTTTGCTTGCTTGATTTCCCCAGCACTGGGCATGGATGATGACCATTCATTAGAGCCGAGTGACCAGTGCCCTGCTAAACGGTGTGAGGCCAACTCTGTCCCAATCCCTGTCACTCCCTATTGTGCCCTACCTGGCCACTTCACTCCATCACCTGCCTGACTCCTGGAGTATTTAATTTATTTAGGGCGTTGACTCAGAGTTGGTGTTAGAAAAGCCATTAAAAGCGCTGGAGGGATGTGGGAATCCCGTCTGTCTGCTAGCTGATTCTCACATCCACGCTTGGTGTCCAAGGCATTCTGGATGTTGATAAGTTATCAGTCTGGGAATTCGGCTCTGGGAGCACAAGGCAAGTGGTGGGAACAGAGAGGTACCAGCCTTGTGAAGAAGCAAGCAGGGGAGGTGGTTTATCCCCGTTTACAAATGGAGAAACTAAGGCAAAGAGAGACTATGTTTTGGAAGACCCCACAGATGCTGAGCAGTGATGAGGGTTCAAACCGAATCCTTCTGACTCTAAAACATTGTGACGCTCAGTGGAACCCAGTGCTCCTTTAGGAAGGGAGATCAGGGAGAGACCTGAGGGTGGATTGCTTGCAGGGCCTGGGGTAGAGGGAACATTTAGGCTCACAGACTAGTGGGGCAAACATGAACAGGAGCTGTGAGCTTCAGGAATGAGGCTGCTTCCATCAGCCCACAGCAAAGTTGGCCTCGAGGATGAGGTCCTGGTTGCCATTGTTACATGGTGGTAGGGGATACCTCCCTCTCAGCCCTCTCTTAGGAGGAAATGGTTTACTGTCCAAAACTGAACAGTAGGTCCTTTTGGTCTTCTGGCCTCCTGAATCCCTAGTCAGGACCCTGAGGTCTTTCGGGGAACTTGGTTTGGGGCCAGCAGCCCTCACCACCATTCTAGTTCCTTACCTTACATTTGCATGCTGTTTCCTTCTGGTAGGTTCCTCAGCTGTCACTTCCTTCAGACTATGGAAGGAAGTGACTTGAAGTCTCATGCCTCAGAAACCTGGCAAACTTCTGGTATCCTCAGAATGACTGTAATAACCTGGATTGGACCTGCGTTTGTGAGGGACCCTAAGTTCTGTGTGACTAGGATTCTAGCCCCTTGATGGCCATGCCCCCAAGCCCTAACTGTGTACTGCCACATCAAGCAAGTGCCTGCCAACTGATATCTCTCCTTTTCCCCTCTGCAGCCCATCCCCTTTTCTGGAATAATTCAAGGAGGACTACAGGAGGGACTTCAGATCACCATCCAGGGGACCATCCACGCCTTTGCAAATAAGTATGTGGGTGACACTTGTCTTTTTATTGCTGTGAAGAGACACAGCAATTCTCATAAAAGGAAACATTAATTGGGGCTGGCTTACAGTTTTAGAGGATTAGTCCATGATCATCATGGCGGGAAACATGGAAGTACTCAGGCAGACAGGGTGCTGGAGAAGAGCTGAGAGTTCTACATCTGGATCTGCAGTCAGCAGAAGGAGACTGTGTGCCACACTGGGTATAGCTTGAGCATATAAGACCTCAAAGCCCTGCCTCCATGGTGGCACACTTCCTCCAGCAAGGCCACACCTCCTAATAGTGCCACTCCCCATGGACCAAGCCTTCACATACATGAGTCTATGGGGTCATACCTCTTCAAACCACCACAAAACTGATGTTAATCCCCTGCCTCAGCAACCATGGAGCTACTGGCTGTGGAGAGCTGGCCTTCCTATACCTCCTGCCATCCTGGCGCCATTGACAGACACCATAGACTCCTGGCTCCCGAGGGAGCTCACAGTCCGAGGGGGAAGTAGAGGCATGGCCAGAGCGGCCGGCCACAGGATGCACACTTGACACCATGACATAGTGCTACAAAAAGGGAAGTTCCATTAGTTCCCATAGCAGTTCTATTTAATTTTCTTTTTAGATGTTTGTGTGTGTGTGTGTGTGTGTGTGTGTGTGCGCGCGCGCGCGTGCACATATGTGTGCATATGCCATGTGTGTGCAGGTGACAGAAGAGACCAGAAGTGAGTGTCAGATCACCCTGGTGCTGGAGTTACAGGCAGTTATGAGCTGCTTACTGAGGATGCAGAAACTGAAGAGCAGGAAGTGTTAACTCCCTCCTCCCCCTTGAGCTGTCTCTCCAGTTCCAGCCCTATAGCCTCTTGAGTCCTAGGAAATATTTAGAGTTCCTATCAAGAGTGATCCCAGGGATGGAGATGTAGCTCAATTAGTGGAGCGTTTACCTAGCACACACAAGGCCCTGAATGGATCCCAGAACTATATAAACAGCATATGGTGGTGCATGCCTGTAATCCAAGCATGGGAGAGGCTGATGCAGGAAGATCAGAAGTTCAAAGTCACAAAAGCAGGTGGATCTCTGAGTTCAAAGCCAGCCTGATCTACATAGTGAGTTCCAGGATAGCCAGAGCTACATAGTGAGACCTTTCTTAAAAACAAAACAACAAAAAAGTTTAAAGTCAACCTCAACTACATAGGGAGCTTGAGACTAGCCGGGGATATACTATCTTTATAAAAGTAAGTCCTCCCCCCATGCCTGGCGGTGGTGGCACATGCCTTTATTCCCAGCACTCGGGAGGCAGAGGCAGGCTGATCTCTGTGAATTCGAGGCCAGCCTGGTCTATAAGAGCTAGTTCCAGGACAGGCTCCAAAGCTACAGAGAAACTCTGTCTCGAAAAACCAAAAAATAAAATAAAAAAAAGGTAAGCCCCTGGTGGGTGTGTAAAATAAGCCCCTGTGAAGGCCGAGGATCTCAAGTTCAAGGCCTTTCTGTGCTACTGAGTGAGTTCTAGAACAGCCTGGGAAATTTATCAAGACTCTGTCTCAAAATAAAAACAAACAAACAAAAACAACAACCCACAGGTGTGATGGACGTAATCAAAATGTCAGACCCAGGAGGTAGAAGCAGGAGGATTAGAAGTTCAGGTTCATCCTCAGCTGCGCAGCAAGTTTGAGGCCAGGCTGGGCTGCACAAGACCTCTCTCTAAAGAGGACTCAGTCTTTGATGTTGTGATCCTGTGTCTACTCAAGCCTCCCAAACACATGCCTAGCTGGGATAGTGCCTGACTTAGGGTCACAGGAATTTCTTGTAGGTCCTGATGTCTAAGGCTTCAGCCGTTGAGGACTTCATCAGCATTCTGCTGCCTAGAATGTTCCACAGAAAACTCAAACGGGCTCTCCATTTGAGAGGAACTTGATGGAACTGCCATGAGCTGTTACTGAGTGTGGCACAGTGTTGGGGTACAAGTGACAGCTCTGTGTGAGGGCTACAGAGACCAGTGAGTAGCTGAGCTGGCACCCGCCACTTCGAGAGTTCAGGGAAGGCTGGACTGGTGGCCCCTGAGGGAGAACCTCAGACTTGAACTTGGATCTTGAATCCAAGCGGGCTGTGACATGGGGAGGCAGGGCAAACACTGGTGCTCCTTTTGTGGGTCCGCTTCTCTGGAAGTTTCTGTGATTTTAATTGCTGACCTTGGAACCTCAGAAGTGGCTATAGGAGAGGCTTCCTCCTAGGACTGGGACAGAAATGGGAGCTTTTCACTGTTGGTGAAAAGGGGAACTTGCCCAGTTAGTGTGGGTCAAGGGTCATATCAGGTGACACTTTGGAACTGGGATCACAGTCTGTGCTTGCCTTCCATACCTCATGTGTCTCCCAGACACGCTTTCCAAAGACTGCTCTCGGGGTGAAGGCTTCTTGTGCCTGGAGAACAACTTTACATAATTTTTTAATGTTTTTAAATTACGTGTATGTGTGTGTGCTCATGCGTGTACACGTGTGCATACACGCACACACTCACTCTTGCCATGGCATGTATGTGGATATCAAAGGACAACTTGAAGAGTCCGTTCTTTCCTGCCGCCGTGAGGATCCTGGGGATCGAACCCAGGAGTCCAGGCTTGGCAGTGCAGTATGTGTCTTTATCTGCTGAGTTATCTCGCCTGTTTGGAATTTGTTCTATTCTTTCGGCAATAAGCAGGTTATGGCTGGCTTCCAACAGCGTCAGCTTCCAAACCCTGTCCACTTGTGCAAAAAGACTTTCCTGAGAAGCATTTTTGTTTGTATGTTTTTTTTTTTTTTTTTGAGACAGAGTTTCTCCATAGCTTAGGAGCCTGTCCTGGAACTCATTCTGTAGACCAGGCTGGTCTCGAACTCACAGAGATCCGCCTGCCTCTGCCTCCCGAGTGCTGGGATTAAAGGTGTGCACCACCACCTCCCGGCTTGGGAACCATTTTTCTTTATTACTATTTTCAATTTGTATTTTATGTGTGTGAGTGTTTTTCCTGCATGTGGGTCTGTATCTACATGTGTGCCTGTTGCCCACAAAGGTCAGAAGAGGCCTTTGTTTCCCCTGGGACTGGAGTTACAGACGGTGGTGCGTCACCACGTGCTGACTGGGAAGTAAATTCAGGTCCTCGGAACCCTCTCTCCAGTCCCCAGCGGGCAGAATTCCTGATGTCCATCTTTGTTATCAATTGTCATTAATTTCTAAGACATTCTTTTTTTCTCTTGCTTTTAATTTTTGAAATGTTTTTTATCATCTATTACTTGTGACATTTTCCTGCATGTGTATAGTGTATTTGGACCATATTTACCTGCAGTATCCTCTCTTGTTCTCTCCCACACCTCTTGAACCCCTTCCCTTTCCCAACAAGTCCCCTTCCCCACAGTCCATGCATTGTGTGTGACCTAGTGGGCTTCATAAAGGTTGCTTCCGTGAGCATGTGTGAAAGCATGTTTACAGGAACATGGTCACTTGGCTATTGTGGCTGCACCACTGAAGAAGACAACTTCTGGCCAACCCCCCACCCCCACATCTGCTGTTAACTACTTAAAAATCCCCAGGGAAAGGCCGGGCGGTGGTGGCGCACGCCTTTAATCCCAGCACTCGGGAGGCAGAGGCAGGCGGATCTCTGTGAGTTCGAGACCAGCCTGGTCTACAAGAGCTAGTTCCAGGACAGGCTCCAAAACCACAGAGAAACCCTGTCTCGAAAAAAACAAAACAAAACAAAACAAAATCCCCAGGGAAGCGTGTGAGGTCAGGAGCCCTCCAGACAGAGCCCTCCAGACAGAGTGCTGTCATCTGAAGCAGTCTTGAGTGGGTCTTATAACCTAACCGTAGCTGCTCTGGGCTCAGAAGGGAAGTGGCCGTGTTACACCTGGAAGACAGTGTTCCAGAGCATTCCATCCTTCCCTGGGCCTTCATTCGTTCAGTCTTTCTGCCCTCCCTTCTGCAACATTCTGCGAACCTTGGCAGATGGCCCATTTATGTTTTTGTTGGTTTTTACCATTGATGCCCATGTGTGGCTATCACTTTTTCTGCAGTTATCACCGCCCACTAAAAAAAGAGGCTTCTCTGCCCACGGCTGACAGCAGCTTTGATCTACAGACACAAACATGATTATATAGAGATGTTTTTATGTGAACATTGTGTCCATTTTAGCAACACAATGGTATTAGCTTCTCCATCAGAGCCTAAGACCTTCCAGCTGCAGGCTTTTATCCAGGTCTACAGTACCAGGCATGAATTTCTGCCTCAAATCCAATCAGAAAGTAGTTGGTACCACCGTAACAGGCTGGTCCATGTTGACCAGTGGGCACATTGTCTCAGTTAGGGTTTCTCTTGCTGGGAAGAGACACTATGACACTGGCAAGAAAAACATTTAATCGAGGATGGCTTGCAGTTAGAGGTGTCGTCTGTTATGGTCATAGCTAGAAGCGTGACAGCATGCAGGCAGATGTAGTGTCGGAGAAGGAGCTGGGAGTTCTATGTCTTGAGCCACGGGCATCAGAAGGAGACTGTGTACCACATTGGGCGTGGCTTGAGCACATGAGACCTCAAAACCCACCCCCACAGTGACACACTTCCTCCAACAAGGCCACACCTCCTAATAGTACCACTCCCCGTGGCCAGGCATTCAAACACGGCTCCATTCCTACCGCCACAACGTCATGCTTGGCCAGATGGGCTTTGTATTAGTTTGCCTCTTTGTTGCCATCTATCTATCTATCTATCTATCTATCTATCTATCTATCTATGCAGCCCCAGCCCACCTGCCCAGAGATGCACTGCCCACACTGGGCAGGGCCCGCCTACATCAGCTGACAATCAAGAAGAATGCCCCATAGACCTGCTCCTAGGTCAACCCTCGGAGGCAATTCACCAGCCGAGGTTTCCCCATTCCAGATGTGTCAACAACCAAAACCAGCCATGACAGTGGTGCCGCATACAGGGTACACGGCTGAGTAAGATGGCTGATGACAATTCTCCAGAAACAATTCCCCTGAATAGCGCCTGCTGTGCTCTGAGTTCCAGCTTGATTCCTCTGTGTCCCGTGACCAGAGCCTGGGGCAAAAGATGGGCTGTTTTTTGTCCTTGCCTTTTCTTACAAATTGTCTGCTTAAGGAAAGGGTGCAGGAAGGGCAGAATGCAGTGACTGCAGGGGGTACGTTAGGTCGGAATTTGATGAACCCCAACATGCTAACAAAGCAGACAGAGGCGGTTCTGTCCAACCCTGGCGGTAAGCTTATTTCTCTGCCTTAGGATTGCTGTGAACTTTCAGACCGGCTTCAGTGAGAATGACATTGCCTTCCACTTCAACCCCCGGTTTGAAGATGGAGGGTATGTGGTCTGTAACACGAAGCAGAAAGGACAGTGGGGGCCCGAGGAGAGGAAGATGCAGATGCCCTTCAAGAAGGGGATGCCCTTTGAACTTTGCTTCCTGGTGCAGAGGTCAGACTTCAAGGTGAGTGGGGAATTACCCCCCCACACACACACACAAACCTGTCCTCCCGGGTGGACTACATTTTAATAGCCACGTTCACTGAGATGCGACCTTTGCCTCACGCGCTCCAGCCTGTGTCTACAGACACACCTCGATTTTATTACTCAGAAAATAAGACCTCAATCTTCACCATGTTGCTTTTAGGCCCCATGTGTCAAAAAACAAACAAGCAAACAAACAGAAACCCAAAGCCCCATCCCCCAAATCTCTGTATTTATTCTTTGATAATTTCATACACGAGTAGAATGCATTTTGAGTACACACACTCCCCCCCCTTCAGCCCCTTTCCACTCCCTCTGGAACCTTTGCCTTCCCCACTCCCCCTCTTTTATGTCTTTACCCCCTCAATAGCCCATGGAATTTTATTAGAGTCATGTTGTACACATGGGTGTGGAGCTGTTTGCTGGATTACGGCCACCCGGCAGCGGCGACAGAACTGAAAAGATATGGCTCCCCTCTCCCCCCACACCAGTGTCAACTGTCAGTCAAAAGCTCCTCCAGAGGGGTGGGACCTCGTGTGCAGGTAGCCTCACAGGTCCCAAAGTCCAAGATAGCTCCATTCCTCCACCGCAGATCCCAGTGGCATCTACTCTTGGTGGTGCTGGGGGTCAGACCTAGCCTCCTGCATACTAGGCAAGGCCTCCGCCACTGAGCTGTGTCCCCAGTCACACCGTGTGTCTGCTGACAGCTTTGTCCTGTCCTTTCTTCAGGCTAGAAGGCAGTGTCTTTACAGGAGAAACTCTGGGTACCGTCTCCAAGGTGGGGTGGGGTGAGTGTGTCCACTCCTGAGCTTGTCTGTGTGACACTGGGCTTCTTGTGTGCGCTCAGCAAAACCTGAGGTTGCCTTTCCTGTGCGGCTCATAAGCATCCTACGCACAGGTGAGGGCTGCGGTGTAGTTCACTGGGTAGGATGCTTGCTTAGCTCGCTCTGGAGAAACTGGGCATGGTGGGACACGCCTGTAATCCCTGCGTTTGGGGAGTGAAGCAGGTCATCCTTAGCAAGTTTGAGGCCAGCCTGGGCTACATGAAACCTTTTTTCAACATCAACAACGACAAAAAAAATTAACTCACATGAATCAAGTTTGAAAAGATAAATCTGGGGACTGCAGAGATGACTCAGTGGTTAAGAACACTTGCTGCTCTTGCAGAGGCCCAGAGTTCAGTTCCCTACACCCACATGGCAGCTCACAACCATCTGTAGTCCAGTTCTAGGGGATCAGACACCTTCGTCCGGCAGTACAGGCATATATGTGGTGTGCATTCATACACACAGGCAAAACATTTATACGCATAAAAGGAAATAGCTCTAAAAATATTCTAAGAAAGGAGCAATAAGCCTGGAGTAATAGGTGAGTGGCGGTCTGAACTGCAGGTCAGGAGCCCAGTGAACAGTGGGTCTGAGTGCAGGTGACCCATCGCACCCCACTGAAGGGCTGGCTGCGAGATGCGGGTTCAGCTCTTTATTTCCAAACGTAAAGCTATTTGTGGCCTGGGCCGACACACCCCCCACTGCAACTCTCTTCCCACAGGTGATGGTGAACAAGAACTTCTTCACGCAGTACCCACACCGCGTCCCCTACCACCTCGTGGACACCATTGCCGTCTCTGGCTCCTTGAACTTGTCCTTCATCACCTTCCAGGTCAGGAGCGGCTGGCACCTGTCCCCGGGTTGAAGGACAGTGACCAGCTGGGCATGTGTCCACTCAGCAGGGCACCAGCAAGCATCTTCCCCGGGTAGCTTTGGGGCTGCACTGGTTCTCTGGTTTGGTGTCTGTCTGCCTGCCTGTTGTCTGTCCCTCTGTCCGTCTTGGTGTTGCTTTCTCTATAATGAACAATCAGCCTGGGTCTCCAAGATGCCAAAGCTGATCTTTCTCTGCAACTGCCCAATGCTAGATGACCAGGGAGTTCTAGAAGAGCCTGTGCTTGGGGAACCAAATGGAATTCAAATCAGAGGGCACAGCATGGCTCCTGGAGCCCTGTCTGGGTCTGTTTGACCTCTGCATTAAAAACAAAGAAAGAGAAGAAAGGAAGGAAGGAAGGAAGGAAGGAAGGAAGGAAGGAAGGAAGGAAGGAAGGAAGGAAGAGGTAAAAGCCAAAACAAACACAAAGAAAACTTTCTGTGTGAATTTTTGCTGCATTCTGTGTCAGGATCTCACTTTGTAGCCCAGGCTGGCCCCTAACTTGTGACCCTTCTGTGTCAGCTTCTTGAATGCTGGGATTAGAGATATATGTTACCAGGCTCAGCTCAGAAAACAAATTATTTTATTTATTTGAAGACAGTGTCTCACTCTATAGCCGTAGCTGGCCTTGAACTTGTGTCCATCCTTCTGCCTTGGCCTCCACAGTGCTGTGATTACAGGCATGTAACACCAGGCCCAGTTCTGAAAATCCATTTAGTCTTTTAAAGACAGGTTAGGCCCAGTTCTGAAAATCCATTTTTTTTTTCTTTTAAAGAGAGGTTCTAGCCGGGTGATAGTGGCGCACACCTTTAATCCCAGCACTCGGGAGGCAGAGGCAGGCGGATCTCTGTGAGTTCGAGACCAGCCTGGTCTACAGAGCTACTTCCAGGACAGGCTCCAAAACCACAGAGAAACCCTGTCTCGAAAAACAAACAAAAGAGAGAGAGAGAGAGAGAGAGAGAGAGAGAGAGAGAGAGAGAGAGAGAGAGAGAGAGAGAGAGAGAGAGAGAGAGAGAGAGAGAGAGATTCTTACTATATAGCTTGGGCTGGACTTGAATTCTGTGTAACCCAAATACCAAAAATACCAAACACAGCATATAAATAAATAAATAAATATCTAGAGATAGTCTGTGAAAAACTGGGTGTGCCAGGATATGCTAGGCCCATTTCCCTCAGCCTTAGGCTCATACTCCGTTTCCTGACCATCTTCCTGCAGGAGCACCCTGATTTCGTTCAAGCCAACCTAACCCTTTTCTTGGCCTCTTTCCACGGGGTCAGAAGCCAACCCTCTCTCTCTTTGCCTGTGCTTGCTCTGACCATGCCCCCTGCTTCCTGTCACCCAGACATGCTTTTGTTTTAACAGAACTCAGCAGCCCCTGTCCAGTCTGTCTTCTCCACGGTGCAATTCTCTCATCCGGGCCAGTTCTCACAGAACCCCCGGGTCCGCAAACCGAAAGTGAGTTAAGTGTTTGGGGTCCAGGAGGTCCATCAGTTGCAAAATGATAGAGCCCAGAGGCAGGTCCCAACCACAGGCTATCCTGGGCCTTCAGGCTCCACCTCCGCACTGCATTCCATCACTTCCCCTTTGTTCTGCCACGCTCCATCATCCCTCCCTCCTTAGCCACTGTCTGGGTCCAGCCTGTGGTAATCCCCACCCCCCCAACACATCATCTGTGGCTCCGTTCCTTTCCCCCACTCCTGCCCACCACTGCACAGTGCCCTCACCCAACACATTCCACCTCACACTCTCCCACTGTAAAAATTGTTAGGCTTGGGTCCCAAAGTCTTTCTAAACAGAGCCCAAACCTGATGGATACCTGTAATCCTAATACTTGGGGACAGGGTCTGGAAGGATCATAAGTTCAAGATCACTCTCAGCCTGGACTACATGGGACCCTGTCTCAAAAAACAAAACAACAGCACAAAACCAAAAAACCCCTAAATAATAAATAGACACAAGCTCACACTCCCTCGCCCAGACCCAGCTCACGACCCCGCTCAGCCGTGCCTCCTCCACCGCCCACTCTAGACACCTCTCTTGCATAGGCTGTCCCTTCTGTCCACCTGGTCCCTGGCAAACTATTAATTACACTATAATTCTTTGTTTAAATGGCACTCAAGAGTGTATACTCTGACCCACCCCATGTCACCGTGGGATTTGTGCCTGTCTGTGCTGGCTTGGGTCACAACATCCTTTGTCTGTCTGTCTTCCTTGTGCTGCCCACTCTCCACCTGCCCAGGAGCCCCTGGAAGACTAACAGCGTGGCTTGTTCGTTCTTTTGTGTATTTCCAGCTCCTCACACGGTGCTGGCGTGCAATAGAGCCCCACCCCCACCCCCAGCCAGGGAGAATAGAAAGCAAACAGGGGTTTCTGGGGTGGGAGTGGGATGGGGATAGGGAGGAAAGGCCAGCAGCTCTCTCTGTGGTCACCCAGGCAGTTGAGGTTAGGGGAAAGGTACTAGCCTTTCTTGGTTCTTGATGGTCCAGGCCAGGACCCGCTTTCTACCGTACTAACTTTAGGATTGGTGGAGCATCTGGAAGCCTGCGCAGGGAAGCCTAGTGTTGACCCTGGCCTGGAGGGTAGAGGATGTGATGGTTACAGTATGGCCAGGCTGGATTCTATTTGGAATCTTCTAACTCGCTTGCTACCTGGGCAAGTCTGGACAAGTGGCTTAACCCTCAGGAGCCTCGGGGCTCACCAGGGGAATGGGACGCAAGAGTTCTGCCTCCGAGGAAAGCTCTGGAGCTGTGTGCTGAGTATGGAATGCTAACTTTCACCTAGCAGGTGAAGTGGGGGTGGGGGGGTGGGGGATGGGGGGGGTGCTCTTGCCTTTGAGGGCCCAGAGACGATGTGGTTGTGGTCCGGCAGATTGACTCCTCTCTCAGGAAGCCAGGAGACAGTCTCCTGACACCCCTGTGCACAGGAGGGTGAGAACTGTGTGCAGCGGGCCTGCAGGAGGTGAGCGTGTCTAGGAAGGTACAGCTGACCTCAAGAACCACCTCTGGAGTTTGAAATTGTCTCTCACCCACAAGACTCCATAGATAACATCTCCCCTTTTTTTACCCCCTTGATTCTTTTCAGCCTCAGGGCATCCGGCCTGCCCACCAGGCACCCGTGGTAAGTCCCTTGATCCTTTTACATTTTAGAACCTCTTCATTATGGCCCTTGTGGGTTAAAAGGAGGGGTAGGCTCAGCCTCCCCCATGAGGGCAGACAAGGCTCCCCATGCACCAGACCTCAGCGGTGTTGGTGGGAAGGGGTCGCAGGTGTGCCTGCTTGGCTCCAATCAAATAGAAAATGGGGCTGGGGGCTGAATTCTGTCAGTGAAGTGCTTGCCCAGCTCTTGCAAAGTCTGATCTTCAGCACTTCACAAACAACGCGTGATGGTGCGCGCTGTAATCCCAGCGCCAGCGCGGGGGAGGCGGAAGTAGGCGGAATGGGTTCCTTTGTCCCAGAGGGAGCCACACGTTCATCCCTCCCTTCTGCAAATCAAGGCTGGTGAGGTGGAACTCTAGTGTAATCCAGCTTCCCCTGAAGTAGAGAAATGCCTCTCCCCGTCCCTGTCTGGGGAGGGGCTGTGGTGAAAGACCTCCCTGGTTAGAATTCGAGGTTCAAGATTAAGGGCGAAGATCAAGTAGCGCCCTCTAGTGGCACGTGATAGTCTTCACAATGGCGAGAACTGGTTAAGACCCCTTTCTTCTTCCCAGGCTCAAACCGTCATCCACACAATTCACAGTGCCTTTGGACAACCATTTCCTGTAAGTCTAAACATTTTTTTGTTATCCTACAGCCCCACCCCTTTCCTTTAATCAAAACCAGAATTCCCTATAGTCTCTAAGTTGGAACCAAAGTGCTTATGAAAGAGGGTGGAGAAACCTGGGCACGGGCCCTGTGATAGAAAGATGACACGGCTCAAACTCTCCCAGGGACAGCACAGATTCAGAAACAGTCTTCCAAGGAATACAACTGGCAGACACACTGTCTTCCGGTCGCCCAGGCTCCAGCCTCTAGCTGGCTTACTAAGGTCAAGCCCCTTGTCGAGGCACTGCTCACAGCTGGTCTAACTCCCCCCAAACCCCGCCCCTCCCCCCCCGGCCCGTGCAGTGCAAGTGGGGGACCCCAAGTTGGCTGGGCTGCACGGAGAGTAGCTAAAGGGCAGGGGACCATAATGGGCCCCAGGAAAACAACAGGAAGTTTCAGAAATGCTGGCGTGACAGAGAAGGGGAATGGGAGGGCTCAGGGGCTAGATATTGAGGTCGCCCTGAAGTATGTGTCACTTCTATGTGGAATCCTGATCTCTCCCACAGACTTCCGGAATCCAGCCTGTGGTGTACCCCTCCTCGGCTTATGTAAGTGGTTCCCTACAGAGAGTCTGAGCTTGGCTCTGTTAGGCACAGTGAGAGATGGAGGGCATTTTTAGGGGGGACCATCCTCTGACTTGCATGATCAGTGAAGGTTCCTGCATCCAGGTGAACAGTTAAAAATACCCATGCAAATTAGTGGAGAGCTGAATAGAGCTTTCAACTTTAAAATGGCCCCTTCAGCTTGAGCAAACTGAAGCCCTACCTTGGCTACTTTTCTATTGATCTCACAAACACTGCGAACATGGCACCTCCGTAGAACAAAGGGTTTGATTTGGGGCTTAAGAGTCCATGACCATCACGACAGAGAGCATGACAGCAAACAGGCAGGCATGGTACTGGAGCAGTAGCTGAGAGCTCACATTTTGTTGGAGGGAGGAGGGAGGAAGGGAGGGAGAGAGAGAGTATGTGTCTGGGAATGGTGCAGGTCATTTGAAACCTCAAAGCCCATCCCCAGTGACACATTTTCTCCTACAAGGCCACTCCTCCCAATCCTTCCCAAACAGTTCCACCAACTGGCAGCCAACTATTCAAATATACGAGCATCTGAGGGTTGGCATTCTATTCAAACCCCAACACCCCAACAAGACTTTTGTGCCCTGTCAAGGTACCTCCCATGGTATTTTGAGAAACACTGGAAGGTTTTCTTTTAACATTTAATGAACCAAGTAAAGGACCCTGGGTTCCCTCCAGAAGATGCAGGACTCACAGGCATGACTTCAGAGTCCACAGTCCCTTGTGCCGAGTCCCTGCTGCAGCAGTCCAGCTGCTGATGAGCTGTTTTCATTCTCCCAACAGCCCGTACCTTTCTTCACCTCCATTCCAAGTGGGCTCTACCCATCCAAGACCATCCTCATAGCAGGCATGGTCCTGCCCAATGCTAAGAGGTAAGACAGGCCCCCAGGGTTGTTCTGGCCAGACTTTGGCTCTGAGCCACCTGGGGGTGATGGGTAAGGGTGGACTCAAAGCTCCGTGCTCAGACAGGGTCTATGTGAACTGCCCATCCCAGGTTTCACATCAACCTTCGCTCTGGGATGGACGTTGCTTTTCACCTGAATCCACGTTTGGATGAGAAGGTGGTGGTCCGAAACACCCAGATCAACAGCTCCTGGGGGCCAGAGGAGCGAAATCTGCCTGGGAAAATGCCCTTCAATCGTGGCCAGAGCTTCTCGGTAAGATGCTGGGAGGCAAGAGGGGGGCGCACGGGTCTGTGATGAGATGGAGGCTATGAGGGCTGCACCACAAAGAAGGAAGAATGTTGAATAAATTGGTATTATTTCATGACCGCTGTCCCTGCTAAAGTAAGGGCTTCTATCTGCTGTGCCTCCTTCCCCCTGTTCTGAGGACTGATCTACAGTCTTGTGCACGCTGGGCAAGTACAATACCACTGAGCTACATCTCCAGCCCTCCTTCTGTTTTGTTTTGTTTTGTTTTAGGGAGGGACTCACTTTAGCCCAGGCTTACTTACAAATCACTTTGTAGGGTGGCTGGCCTAGAAGTCAGGTGATTCATCTACCTCAGCCCCCCAAAAGCTGAGATTACAGGCCTGAGCCTTTCTTTCTTTACTTTGCCCACCCTCCTTTCCTCCCTCCCTTCCTTCTTTTCTTCTATTTTGAGATGGGGCCTTGGTACAGTTAGTCTTGAACTACCTGAATGCTGCTTCAGTTTCCTGCATAGGTCAAAGTACAGTTCTGCTCTCCAGAGCATTGTTCCTGCTTTCTACAGATGGGCAAACACATTCACAAGATTGGGGCACTTGCAGGTCACACCAGCCAGTTTGTGTCAATCAAACCCAGGAGTGAATTGCCATTCACTCCTTTGCTTCCGCAATTATAGTCACCCAGGAGGAAGCACACTGAGAGGGGAACTGGCTCTCAGCCGGAAGCCTGATCCCTAAGCAGGCCTTATCGACCCTGATGATGACATCAGATCACCCCATGAGCTTAAATAAGAAGAATCAATGCCTGGGCCCCACCCCAGGGCAATGTGCAGCCATTGTTTGAAAATATCATGGCAACATGCTCTGCCTCAAGGTTGAGAGTAGAGTGTAGGGCTCTATGGGTAGTGAAAGGAGCTTGTATTTGGTTATTGTTGAGACATGTAGCCCAGGCTGGCCTCACACTTGCTATGCGTTCAAGGCTGGCCTTCAACTCCTGATCCTTCTGCCTCTCAAGTGCTGGGATTAATTATAGACATGCAACAAGCCTGTTTTTTTTTTTTTTTTTTTTTTGACTATTGAACTGGCATGTGTGAACTGTCAGGCCCCGCTGAGGTTTTTTCAGGTTTCTTTTTGTTTTTTGTTTGTTTTTAATGTGTATGAGTGTTTTTCTGCATGGATATACATGCACCATGTGCATGCATGCTTGAGGCCCTCAGAAATCAGAAGTCATCCAATCCCTTGGAACTGGAGTTACAGGCAGCTGTGAGCTTCCACGTGGGGGCTGGGAAGTGAACCCAGTGCCTCTGCAAGAGCAGCCAGTGCTCTTAGCGGTGGAACCCTCTCTCCAGCCCCCTGAGCTACGATTTTAATTTAGTGAGAACAAAGACCTAACAAGACTGAGTCTCACAGAGCAGAAAGGGTGGAGCAGGCGGAGTCTGCAGCATCTGGACAGCGCCCACATGAGTGCTAGCCTGGGCCTCACACACTGCGATATGAGTCTTAGCGGTGGCCATGGGTCACGATGCTTTAACATCAGTTGTCTCATTGAGAATGACACAGATAGCCTGAGCCGGCATTCCTGTCACTAGTGGCTTAGGGTTCAGCTGGAGAGTGAGCATGAGGGTGAGGGATATGGTCTGAGCAGACAGTTGGCTGAAATGGGTAGGGGTCAGGGGGTGCGAGAGACAGGGTAGGTCATTGTAAGGGATGGGCCAGCACTTTCCCCTGTAGGGGAAACAACATTCTGGGCTTGGGAACAGCCTATGCTAATGTTCTAGGCCAAGAGAACACTTGTGTTTGGCGAAGGGCAAACCATTCAGGTTGGCTAGATCGAGGCCAGGTTTTAGGCTGACTCCTGAGGAAGGAGAGATGGGAATGGGAGAGGGAGGTGCGAACCTGGGTTGCCAAGTGCCCTGAGAATGTTGTGGCGTCTCTGCCCAGGTGTGGATCCTGTGTGAAGGTCACTGCTTCAAGGTTGCCGTGGACGGGGTGCACCTGTGTGAATACTTCCACCGTCTGAAGCATTTGCCGGCCATCAACAGCCTAGAAGTGGCAGGCGATGTCCAACTGACCCACGTGCAGACATAGGCAAAGGCCTAGAAATGAGGACTGGGGCACCCTGTCATGTTTTGTTACCTCTTCTCTGCCTTGGCCCTGGCTCCCCAGAACCCGCCATCAGAAGATCACCTCACGGACAGGAGTTTCGGAAGGGGAAACTCCCAGTTCACTTCGCTCTATGCGCTCTACGAAGTGGGTGTCCTGGCTATGTGGCACATGGCTTTCAGCCCACAGTCTCATGGTTCTCCAAGTAGTTATACACTGAGGGAAGTGACCCCTTGGGTCTGCCCCTTCCTCTGATCTTCAACCTCTCTGGCCCCTTTGTCCCTTCTTCTCATCACTCCACCGCGGGAAGGCCACCTGGTGTCATCCCACTGCCTCCGACTGACCAGATTGTCCTCATCAGTTCTTCCCCATGCTTGCCCAGTGTCCATACAATAAATCATGCTTCTTCTCACACACATGAGAGATGACTTGCTTATTGAATGGGGCTGGAGACATTCTGGAACCTTCTAAAGAGATTGGGAGGAAGCAGGTTGGTGCCCATACCTGCTCACAGGGGTCCCTCCTCTCAAACCCCACAAGGTGTTGGGGTAACTGGGTGGGGACTGGAACACACAGTCTCTGGTGGGAATGCTGGCCTCTGTAAATAACCCCGGGCCCCTGAGGTAGGGACAGGCTGGGAAGAGGCTGTGGGAGCCTCGGTAGCTTGTGCTGGGTGGGAGGGGAGGCAATGGGATAATGGATAGGGAGTTGGTAGGCCTCCCAGCAGAGGGGCTTGGGGTGGGGACCCACCACATGAGGGATCTTCTTCACCCTGCTAACTCATCGAGGCCTCCATCACTTTTGAGACCTCAGGTCAGCAACATCGCCAACACCTGGGAGCTGGTCAGACCTGCAGAGCTCGCCTTCAATCCCAGCACTTGGGAGGCAGAGGCAGGTGGATCTCTGTGAGTTCGAGGCCAGCCTGGTCTACAGAGTGAGTTCCAAGACAGGCTCCAAAGCCACAGAGAAACCCTGTCTCGGAAAACAAAACAACAACAACAAAAAAGAACTGCAGCAGCTCACCTGGGAGGCTGAGGCAAGACCAGCTTGGACTGCACAAAATGACCTTGTCACACATAAACACAAATGAAAGAAAAGGCCACATTTGTCCTTCCCAGCCCTACTGAGCCTGTGTGTGTGTGTGTGTGTATGTACACAAATGCCTATGTGCGTGTAAGAGAGTGAAAATGTGTTTGCATGTGTGTGGAGGCCAGAGGTCAATTCTGAATTTCTTCTTTTTTATCCGTGTCCCCCCCCCCCCCCCCCCCCCCCCCCCCCCCCCCCCCCCCCCCCCGCCCCCCCCCCCCCCCCGCCCCCGCCCCCCGCGCCCGCCCCCGCGCCCACCCCCCCCCACCCCCCCCCCCCCCC